TGTGATTCATTACATTCTGGAGCTCTTTTGTCTGGGTTTAAATCTTGGGTCTATGCTTACTAGTTCTTTGATCTTGACCTATGTTGCTTCATCTGCCAAATGGGAATAATAAGTTGCTACTTCAGAGGGATGGTATGAGGGTTAAATGAGTTACAAGAGTTAAAAACATAAAGCCCATAGACTAGCACTTGACTCTTAAAGGTATAATCCTAAGGGCTCTACCTATACTATACTGCAGTATAATATACAGAGAGTTCTTGCTATATTAGCACATTATTCTATACAGTAAATATTCAATTAATATTAGTAATTAATATACTAAGATGTGAGAAAAATTATATACTCTTTTGCAATACCCAAAGCTATGCATTTTACATTATACTGCACCTCAATTTAAAATAATTTTTGTTATTGAAATCAGAGACTTCGTTCATTTTGGCATCTGTTCTATTGCAAACCATCGTGCATCCTATCCTATTAGAATCATGGCCAGGAAGACAGGCAAAGTCCTCCCACACATGGAGAAATGATGACCCCCGATGGCTGAACACAGGCATCTGTACCACCTACTCTCCACTTCACAAGGGGCACTTCCCTGCTGCTCTGCTCGGACACCTGCACACTCTGCCGTTCTTAGCCTCTCAATGTTGACAGCTGTTAGAACTAAGTTGCAAAGCTAATTGTACTTGCTCAGTAGATACTAATAATGCCATGGAGGACCGAAGGGAAGATGGAGAAAAGAAACATTAGGAGTTGATAGTCATAGGAGAATCAGGAGGGAGTTCAGCTCAGGCTGCGTGACCAAAACAGTGTGCAGAGTAATGTGAAGGGGCTTAGAAAAGCCCTTAGAAAAGCCTGTCTATTTTCCCAAGACCAGTTGGCCATAGGGAAGAGTATTTATATATATTGGTGTGATCATTCTGGAAAGCAAATATCTCACAGCTCTACCAAGTCTACACTGTGGCATGTCTGAGACGCACCTCTAAGCTACTCTGTTGACACATGCACATATCCCACTTCATTGCATAAGTAATTGGGTTTTCAGAGAACATCCCCAATTACCTGAAAGGCTATTAAAATTCTTCTCCTTTAAAGTATTAAAGTACTTTTCTAACGACATATCTATGAGGCTACCTTTTCTTCATATGCTTCAATCAAAACAGACTGAATGCAAAAGCAGATGAGTATCCAAGTGTCTTCTATTAAAGCCAGATTTAGAAAAAATTTACAAAGATGTAAAGCAATGCCACTCTTTTCACTACATTTATTTATTAAATAGTTATTTTTCATTTCTCAATTTCCTTATTTATCAATAGGGGATAAGAATTCTCCAATCTTGAAGGGTACACCTTCCACAGTGGCTCTGGACTTTGACATGTGGCTGGCTTTGGAGAAAGGGACATTAGTAAGCATGATACAAGCAGAGGCTTGAAAAATGAGTAGTAGAGCTTGTCCACTTTCTTGCTTCTTTTGGAATCCAGCCACCATATCAAGAAGCCTGGGCTAGCCGACTGAACATAATACGCTGGTCTTCTGAGTGACTCATAGACCATACAGCCACAGCTGAGTCACCAGATGACTGCAGTCACATGAGCAACCCCAGGTTAAGACCCACACAAGAACTGTCTGGCTGAGTCAGCCCAAATTGCTAATCCACGGAATTGAACATTATTATTGTTTCAAGTCACTAAATTATGGGGTGGTTTTTAAACAGCAATAGTTACTTAATATATAAAGTGTGTATATATAT